ATTTTTTTTTCGAAATGATAGCGATTGCTTCCATAAAAGTAACAATTTTTCTGGTAATGCTGCGGTGCATGTATTTAGCAGAATAGGGTCCCAATTGTTATTAGGAATGTTTTCTGTCGATAGAACCGATAAACAATTTGTTTCTTTTTGAATTTTAGGCAAGTTTATTAGTGTCATTACTTGTTTATCGACCAAATTCAAATTGTCGTCTTTATGTGCAAACTGACGCTATTACGCCTGTTTGACCTTTAGTTTTATATCTGTGGTAATAAAATTTGTTTGCTTGCGATAATTTTGGATGGTTAATATAGACGGCTGTAAACATGTCCCGAGGGACGGCCGTTCTTCATGACCTCCATAAAATGTTTCTGTGTTACATGCGACCTTCAAACCTAAACTAGCGTTTTGAAATTTTAGTAGTGGCAGCTCTACTCTGGGATGTGGAGTAGGTGGAATTGAATTTATTAGCTTTAGTTGAGTATGTACGTATTTATGCGCTTTGTACATAAGTATGCACAAATTGTTTCTGCTTTAATGTTTGTGTGCAATCTTGCTTGTTTGCTGCAAGGGGTATATTGTTATATTATATATATTTCTGTTTGACTATAAAAATATAAATTTTACTAAGTACTGCTGGAACTCCGCGACTTTTTAGAACCCGCTGCACTAATATCAACATAGACGTAGTCCTCAAATGATGCTTCGATATTTGCTACTTTTTTTAAATGAAGACTGTAAAGCACCCAAATGCGATATTGAAAAAAGGTCCTCTTCCGCCCAATGCTCAGATGGATTCTGCATGGCATCTTTTGAAAATATCGCCTTTCTAAAACAGTTGGCAATTGTTTCTAGTTTAACATAGACATTCCATACAGTGTTTAAATTTTGAATGTATGTTTATGACCATAACAGAATTTTTCTCATTCAGTTAAGTCAATATATTCGTTAAAATTCGTTTTCTGTAATGTTGTTTCGTGTTATACTTGTAGATAATGCATTGGTCCATTGGTTGTAGTGAAGTCATGTTGAGAGAGAAATATGTGAGATGAATGTGCATATCTAGGATGCGCAGTGCAGTTATCTTATTTAACAATAACTTTTTTTAGGTGAAATGCTGCTTCGATGCGTGTTTGAAAAATCCACTATATGGAGACAAAAACACCAAAAGTAGAACGAAAAAGCTGTGTCTTTGAAATTAATACATTAAAAGGAGAGCTTCATTAATTGAATTGAAGTTCGACTGTATATGTATAAATGTGCACGTATGTGTAGTTTACGCAATTAGTGAGAACAATTTTTTTGTTTCGTTTTTTAATTAATTTAATTTAGTGAATTCATATTCACTTCACCTCCGTGTAATTTTGAATATGCAAATTTTAGGGTAAACTATTTGGAAATTATAAAAAATTTTAATAATTTAAAAATACCTAGTGTAGGATATGAAGCAATAGGCAAAATTTTTTGACGAATGATATGCATATGTATGTATATATATGCATGTACTTATTTTTTTTTATCTCTTCTTATCTTTTCTTTTATAACGGGTGTTTTTTTCGAGGTATAGAACTTTAAGTTGGCATTACTGTTCAAGATGGCGACCGTTTTAACAGCTGTCAAGTGATTTATTCTCAGTTTGGTTTGGCAATTCATCATGAATAGACTCACGCTTGAACAACGCTGGCAAATAAAGCAATTTTATTTCGAAAATAATTCGTTCTGTGCGCAATACGTATCGCGCACTACGTTCATTTCATCGTCGACGCACTTCTGGTTGAATGGCTACGTCAACAAGCAAAACTGCCGCATTTGGAGTGAAGCTAATCCTCATGTGTATGTCTACACACCGTCACATCCAGAAAAACTGACTGTTTGGTGCGTTTTGTGGGCTGGTGGAATCATTGGTCCGTACTTCTTCAAAAACGATGATGGCCAGAACGTTACAGTCAATGGTGATCGGTATAGAGCCATGATTACTAACTTTTTCATTCCTGAATTGAACAACCATGATGTACAGGAGCTGTGGTTCCAACAAGACGGCGCAACATATCATACAGCTCGTACCACAATCGATTTATTGAAAGACACGTTTGGTGACCGCCTAATTTCACGTTTTGGACCTGTGAATTGGCCTCCAAGATCTTGTGGTTTAACACCGCTAACAGACTACTTTCTGTGGGGTTATGTAAAGTCATTGGTCTTTGCGCATAAGCCACAAACGCTTAACCATTTGGAAAACAATATTCGCCGTGTTTTTGCCGATATACGGCCACAAATGTTAGAAAAAGTGATTGAAAATTGGACGTCCAGATTGGACGCCAGCCGTGGCGGTCATATGCCAGAAATCATATTTAAAATGTAATGCCACAAGATTATATTTTGGGTAAATAAAATTCATGTCAATCGAATAATCCATCGGCGTTTCATTATAATTTAAAGTTCAATACCTCTAAAAAAAAAACACCCTTTATTTTGTATTTGTTATTTTGTCTTTGCTTACTTATTTTATGCAATACTGCTACTGCTTTATTATGCTTAAGGGGTATTGCTGGAAAATATTAGTAAGTAAATACTTTTTTTTTGTTTTTAGGTTTGTTACATTAGTGTGTTTTGAGAACACAATGGTAAGCTTATACATAGGCAATAAATTAATACTCTTTTATTTGCATATGTATTTAATGGTTGCGTTTATAAAAAAGTTTTTATTAATTTATTTTACATTAAAAACTCTAATCCCAAATAAATTGATCGCTGCTGGTGCTGCTGCTGACACGACTAGTCCACTCGGAGTTCTTGAGAAAAAGGGAAAAATTGAAGGAAAATTGATGATTTTGACGTTAGATGCCATCTTTCTACTATTCCGTTCGCCTGCGGGTGATACGATGTTGTCTTTAGATGCGTTATACTGAGCGAGCTTGTCAGCTCTGTGAATAGGGTGGACGTGAATTGACGACCTGGATCTGATGTAATGACGGCTGTTGCTCCAAATCTTGCAATCCAATTAACGAATTAAGCTTTTGCGATGGTTGGTGTTGTCATGTTGGGTATGAGAATAGCCTCTGGCCGTTCTGGCGAAGGAATTTGAGCTCTTGATCAACTTGCTCCAAATCTTGCAATCCAATTAACGAATTAAGCATTTGCGATGGTTGGTGCTGTCATGTCGGGTATGAGAATAGCCTCTGGCCGTTCTGGCGTTGTTCTGGCGAAGGAATTTGAGCTCTTGATCAACTTGCTGGTCTTTGGCAAGTTTGTTGTAATTTATGCTTGTTGCGTGAATTTGTGCTATTCTTGAAAGCTTTCCCCTCTACGTGGCGAATATCTGTAGTTATTTGAGTAATGTAATCAAGCTGGCGCGCTTGACAACTCGAGCATTTTTCAGAATTCTTTTGAAAGGCATAGGTAAGTGGTTTATGATCGCTATATATGTGACAGGTTCGTCCTTCGGCGTCGACCCATAGTGACATCTCAGTGTCTATTGAGGGATGTGCCGAAAGAGAAGCATCTGCAAGCTGGGTTTTACATTTTTCGTACTCTGCTGGTTTAATATCGGTCTATTGGAGCTGAGAGCGATCGTTCTGTTTGTTTCCACGGCACAGTGGGGTTTGCGTTTCGATGGCGTCTGTAGAAGTTAATTGTGTCTGAGAATCGCTTGAGGCCATTGACGGTAGTTGGTTTTTCACGATCTATTATATCTTGTACGTGTTGCTTTAGTGGTCTTTTTCACTCTGCTGAGACAGTATGACCTAAAAAGATGATTTTCGTTTTTCCGAAAACAGACAGACTTGGTAGAGTTGATTCTTAAATTGCGCTTCTGTAGACATGTACCGTCTGCTTTCTTTACCATGTGAAGAGGGCTACCCCGACTGCTGCTCGATGGGCGGCAAATGCACAGTTTTATTTGAGCTTCGAATTATGCTTCTGGAGAAAGTCGTCTTGGTTGTGTTGATAAGGGCGGACCGCGAGTTTGGATGTGATGGACTACCTTGGACATAGCTGGGCCTCCGAGTTGCGCTAACCGTGTTATGCTACCAAACTCTTTAAGTAAGCTCGTATATTCGCGGGACGTGTCAAATGTTTTTACTGATAATGCTTCTCTACTCACAAGTTTTCCTATCGACGCTACTGATGTTAAGTTGTCGACTAACCGTTTTCTTTTTAAGTCGACCAGTAACCCATAGTGGCTTATAAAGTCGGCTCCTATAATTCCGCACGTAACGTCAGCGATTTAAAATTCCAAAGGAATTCGCGTCTAAGGCCTAAATCGATTTAAAGAAGGACTTCGTCGTATACGGTGATCGGTGTACCGTTCGCTGCGTATAACTTTGCCGTTGAGGACTTCATATAGTTTTGGACGATTTTAGGAACTATGGAGGCGTCTGCCCCGGTGTCTATCAAAAAGTTATGTTTGGAGAGCCCATCAAAAATTTTCAGGCGATGTGTGACTGCAGGACGTAAGTTACAGATGTGCGTTGCAGTCTTCGATGAGGATAGTCATTTGCTTTCCTCCCAGTTGCCGAACATATGGTGATACCAACATAACTCGTTCGTGTGCGTGGACTCCCTTTGATGCAGTTGAAGAGTTGGCTTGGCTTTAAGTCACTCAAAGGAATATCCGAAAGAACACGTTGTACGCGACATTGTTGGCTGTCGGCAAAATGTGCTATTAGTTGGATTTATTGTAATCGTAGGTACATATGTACCTATACATCTTTGTTTTATTTATTCGTTTGTGCTTTATTGTTAAAAATATATTATTACAAATATATATATATTTTATTACAAATATATATATATTTTATTACAAATATATGTATATATATTTTATATACACACAAATACAATCGAAAAAAACTGCATACTCAAAAAAATATGCCGTTAAATGCAAATAAGTTTTTTGCACATATAACTATTTTACTAGGGTATTTCCGCATCATGTTTTCAATTACTTTTAACATATTTTCATAATTAGATATAACAAAATTTTTTATTAATTTGTTTTTTAGGAAAAATGCAAGTTCAAATGGAAAAGTTGTACAAGGATTTGGGAGAATACTTTTCATTTGACCATAATAAATATTCAATGGAAGAGTTTTTTACCGATATCAAAGCATTTAAGGATGCCTTTATACAAGCACAACAAGAGAATGTTCACCAAAGAGAAGAAGAAAATAAAAAACGGAGACTACAAGATGCTCGAGAACGGCTGCTTCGTGAGCAATTAGAACGGCAACAACTTAAATTAGCACTTGTTGACATGGATTCTACGCAAACCCAGGAGGGAGTAATGGACAGTTTATTAGAAGCCTTGCAAACCGGAACTGCTTTCGGAAATCGAAACCAAAGACAAAGGCGACCGCGACCTTCAGGCGCTGAACGACGAGCCCAACTTAGTAGAAGCCGATCAAGAACACGCGTTGGTACAAGTGCTTTTGTGGCTTGTGAAAGCTTTGCAAACGATAACTTTTTACATAAAAAACATCAGATTTAGTAAGACTTTTCTTCTTTATACGAAATTTAGTATTGTTTAATTAATAAACTTATGTTGGCAAACTAACTTGTTATTATATAAGAAAATAATTTAGATCCTATTTATGCCTACCATTATTTTCACAATATTAACTGTTAAAAAAGCCTTAAATACCTGAAATTTTTGCGGCAGTGGCAACGGTTTGATAATGCATCTTAATGAAAAAATTGAATTTACAGTAATGGAACAATAGACAATAAATTGGTAATAATATGCCACTTTTAGGTCTTGTGGTCAAATGCGCTTAACTATTATAACATCTCCAAAATTGTGCTTATTTCCATACCAATTCAATACTTATAATATGATTTAATCTTAATAAATTCAAAAGAATAATTTCTTCTCCAAAAAAAAGTAATGAAACACATAGGTGTTTATGTTAGAGAACATGCGCAAGTCTGTTTGAACAGCTGGTATAGTTTGTTTGCTTAAATTTCATTTGGTATTGCTAAATATATATAACATTTTTTTCGACAATATAAAATATTTAAAATTATTATAGCTCAACTCTGTTTATCAAACATTGTGTGACGTTAACTTTGAAACAATTATTTTTAACAAGGATAACGAAATATTTTAGTTAACAGTTGCTAGTTTTGTTAAAAAAAAACTTAAAATAAACGAATATTACTAGCAAACTGTGCATAATCCAGAACACAAAACGTTATTGAGGGTTTCTTTGCCGAATCATTGTTCATAATATACAGTGCTTACTCATCGAATTATGACCGATAGCTGAATTTAGAAATTACGACTTTGATTATTCATATAAGAAAAACTAATGAAGTTAGAATAATAAATGAGGTATCATTTTATCAGTTGGAACATTTGGCACAAAACTTAGAAGAAACTTCTTGGTTTATCAAATATTTCGTCTGTCCGCCTTTAGATTTCAGAACTACCTATATTCGTTGGGGCATACTTTACATTTTAGGTATGCCCAGCAGTATTCCATGGGATTAAGATCAGTAGAATTGCCAGGCCATGCCATCACTGGTAAATTTAAGGTGCTGAGGTTTGTCCATGCTTGCTTTCAATGTACGGCAAGGAGCACCATCTGCATTAAGATATACCTCTCTGGAATATTCCAAGGAATCAATATAAGGAGATAAAACATTTGGCAGCTAGTTTATATATGGGGTAGAGCGCATTGTTCCTTCAACAAATTAAATTGTACCAGGATCTTCTGACGTAATGCAGCTCCAAATCATTAATGATGGTGAATGTTTAATGCAAAGAACGACACATTAATATGAATATCGTTCACCTTGTCTCCTACAAACGAATTTTCTTGATTCGGTAACTGTTTCGAAACGACATGTGTCACTGAAGATAACCTAACCAATGAAATCAAATAGAAAAAACCATACAGCCTAGAAAGCTAGGCGATAGAAGTGAAACTTCATGGATCTCGATGGGCACTTGAAATATAAAAAAACTCACCCTAGCCAGCAAGTTATGCATGTGATAGAATATTTCTCCGATAGCAGAAGACACTATTCATTATTCTGGAATTTTTAAGGGTGTTAGGTTAATGGAAAAAAGTAGTTGATGTTTTCGCCTCCATTTATAAAAAATCTATTCTTTCACTTCCATACTTTCATGTTCAGAAAAGATTCAATTGGTTTGTGGTATGAAAAATATGAATTAAAAACTCGTGATTGTAACTTTTTTAAATAATATTTATTTTATTATTATTTAATTGCATCTATTGTCGTGCCTGATCTGTTTGTTTAGTCTTTGGGATTATCATTAATTTTTAAATTAAATTTACTTTCTAAAAATTGTACAAGTGGGTTGAGCTTCCTCCAAGGCAAAATTGACATTAAAATCGCTGCTTAAAATCATTGGCATAGTGTGCAAATCTGCTCCTAATTTTGCTGCACGAGAGGGAGTATATGCCAATAATGCTCTATGTATGAATTTTATTATATTGTTAATTCTCTGGTTCGCAGTGATGTAGAGAACAATCATTGTCACACTCTGTCCGCTTTCTATAACTCATTCGGCCGGACAAATGTCTCCAACTGCAGCAGCATTGACAGCCAACCAGTTAATTTGTTGTAAATTCGGCACATCCACAGTTTCTTCATGGTTTATCCATGTGTCTGATAATAATAAATTATTCGCTCGTTGGACTACTGTATCCGTCAAGTCTACTGTGTGAGCCCGTAAACTTTGGCAGTTTAGGGAGAATAATGAGAGAACTAACATTAACATTATTCTTAGCATTAATATTATCCCTAACATTAACTTTAATATTGCTCCGAATCTGTCGCGTTTTCGTTTCTTTCCCATGTCTCCTTCCGTCCGACTGCCCCACTAAGCGCGCCATCCCCTCCCTTTTTCTGTCGCTTTTTCGTTTCAATCGATACTGGAATTACAGCCCAACGAACACAAAGAAGTTTCACTTCAAAAATTAGTTTGACAAATATGTTATATTTTATTATTAAACTAAATTTTTAAGAAGTACCTTTCTCCAGTAGGAGCTCCTGAATTCCTTTTCAACTGGGCCCAATAAAATCACTTCTGACGCATTGTTAATGTAAACTTTGGCTTCTTTTCTGGCCGCCTTTAAATTAGCTCATTTTTATACAATCGTGGACTTAGTGTACTTAATGATACCGTAATGCCAGAGTCAGTTATGAATATCGTTTTACGAACTTCATTGCAGTTCTCCCTGTTAGTTTTACAAACTATAGGCAAGTTTTCGTTGTTTATGACTAATTTTACAATATTCACTAAAAATGCTTTCGACGCATGAAGTTTTCCAGCTATTTGAGAATAACTATAATAATTTTCCTACACAAAATCCTCTTTTCAGCCACTTTTCTAGCGTTAAATAATTTTTTTTACGCATACCCTTTTAAAAACAATACAGTTTTTTCTAATGCAAAATTAATTTCTGATAACATTTTTTACTTACCTCTTCTTTACTTGCTTTAACACGTAATTTGTCTTTACTGACTGCTGCTATTTCACTGTAAACGAAAAGGCTCACACAGGTCATTTAAAAATAACGCTACTCTTTTGGTTGCCATAGATTATATATATTGTAACGTATTTTCTCGATAAATCGTCTTTCTTGTAACTCACTATTGAGTGATCCTACTCTGGATTGTTAAATAAAAGTCCCAATTTAATAGCCATACACTTATCTTTATTTCTATTTCCAATAACTTAACGCTTTGCTACTCATTATCTGAATTCAATACTTCCTACTTATCAGGGGTGTTGTAGAATCCGATAGTTGTCGGAATCAGAATGGAAACCGATAAAAAAAATGTAGTAGGTGCCAGGTGTAGTAAGTGGAATTCAGATATTATTGGTTTGACGTTGGAAACAGTAATTGTATCGGTTTCGGGTGTCACGGAAACCAATTTCATCGGTTTTGTTATTAGAAACAAAGCAAGAGGATAGTCGCTGACAGATTTTAACTTATATTAATATTACGATTTAATTTATCTTTATTTTTATAGGGGAAACATAAGAATAAAACACAAAATGTCATAATTATTGAGTTTATTGAAAAAATTCAGATATTTTAAAAGGATTTACAAAACGTAATAAACGTAATTTACCTCCAAAATGCGTCTTTATTTAGTCGATAATGTGATATACATAAGTAATGTAAGTATGTGCATACATATACAAGCATACCAGTTAATGCAAGCCAAATTTCACATGCGTTTCACCTGGTGCATCAAGTGGATTACTGTGATCTCTTAATAACTTCCTTTTAATTTTTTCTTTGCTTTTTTTTCTTCCAAATAGTAAAAGCTAAAATAACGCAACTCATTGTAAACTTTAGTAGACTTCATTCAGCATTTCAAAATTATCAAACGCTTCCAAATTTATTCATTTGCAAGTTTTGTCGCATTATTCGAATATTGGTTCTGCATATGTTCGAAAATCTAATCAAATTCTGTGACACCATTGAAACGCAAATCTGTCTTGGGTTCCGCAACACCCCTGTATATCTTAATTGCCATTAACATGGCAACACTATAATTAGAACTGTGCGCAATCCGACAGTCCTTATCATATTAGATCCATGGATAAAATGAACCGAAACTCTTTGATTCGAGAGAGCGCTGTCAAAGTTCACATTTTTTACAACATTTGACAGTGGTGCCATTAAGGAAAGAAATAAGTTTTGAGATTTTTTAATATATTTCTTGGGTATTTTTCGTTTTCCATTTTCCAGAAAAATATACAAATTTAAAATTAGTTTAACAAGCTAGATATCCTATATGACGTCTAAATATATCTACGTGTATATTTTAATCTCAAAAGTTTTTCAAAATTTACTTTTAAAACTAAATTTAACAAAATATTTTAATATTTCAAAACACTTACAAGTTTTAAATAACCTAAACATGATCCTTATTTCTTTTTTTTTATACTCAATTAACAAATATCTTTTGATAATTTATTCGGAAGTCAAAGTTTACATAACATTTGCTAGGAATTCTAACCAAAATAAGTATATACGTTGACAATTGGTACTGCTAAGCAAAACAATACTCTGCGAGAAAATACCCGCTATTTCTTAAAAACAAAACTATATTAAAACTCTTCAAATAAAGATTACAAATATACGTAAAAGTCAACAAAAAATCTGATCTCACAAATTACCCACTGATTTCGCAATTTATTTCTGCGGGATTCTTAGTGGTAATTCATTGTTTTGGTTGTCATCTGTTCAGTAGCTCATGAACTCGTGGTTTTTCTTGGCAGCACTGAAAGTTCATGAGCTCTCTCAGAAGGCAAAGAGAGGAGTTTCGGATCATATTATCTATGATTAGATCTTTAACATATCATCACATCTAGAACCTTCTGGCAACTACGAATTCGCTAACTAGTTGATTCGGGCAATTTATCGTCGACTCGACTTTGTTCTATCATCCGTGCTCATCACAATATCATACATAAAAGAAGAACAATCCCGTAACTTATATTAAAGTTTTTGCGCAAAAAAAAATACATATACTAAAGAAATATTATTAAGAACACACGAAATAAAAAAAAAATTGTCATAATTTAATGAGTAAGCACTCTGACTTAGTGGTATCAAATGCCGAAAAGAACTTTGTTTTATCTGGGTAAATCTGCATTTGTGGAATAATGGAAACAGTTTATACAAGTATATCTCAATTTCGAACTGCTTCGGAAATTTTAACATGAGAGTCAACAGAAGCAATCGTGCAACCGGCGAATGCTTTCGGATTATATTTCAATAAGTCCGCGCATGACAACAACCTCATCATAAGCATAAACATTGCGATTGAATATAGTTTTGGTGCGCGCAATCCAGGAGGGAAACCAAAGTTTCGTTTGTATTTCTCACCCAATCCTCGCTG